AGTCCCGCGCCCGGGTGGCGAGGTCACAGCCACCGAGTGGGACGGAGAGCGGCAGCCGGATGTGCGCAGCGGCCCTGCGGGGCCATTCGGTTGGGACGTGCGCCTGGAGGACGCCACACGGCACAGGCTTTTTTCAGTCCCACGCTGCCTCCGGCTTGTGGCGGGCTCCTGCCACCTCTCCCCGCGCGCGTACAGCCGCGTCCTCGTGGGGAAGGAGAGCAAGCCTACGCCGGGGCATGGCTTGGGCTAGACCTTGGGCGACCGTGCGGTGGAACCGCGCCTTTCCCTGCGCAGCTGCAGGCTCGTGGAACCTCCTGCACACCGGATCCATCTTCTCCCGCTTCCCCGGCACTCCGGGGTCCTCTAGTTCGGGCGGGCTCTTTAATCCCAGCCGGACCATCCCTACCCCGCACACCCTGGAGCCCGTGGCACCATGCGCCCCTCCCGAGGGGACCGCGCCCCCGTCCGCAGGGCGGAACCTCGGGGCTGCCTGGATGCTGAGAGCCGGCCCGGGCCGTCAGCTGCTTCTCCGCCTTCCCTCGCCCGGCGCCGGTGTCCCCTCACCCCCGTCTGACTCTTCCTCCCTTTTGCCTCCCCAAGGGCGCCGGATTTTCTTTTTCCACTGGATCTTTACTTCAGCAAACGGGCTGTGATTTCTTCCGTATGCAAATAAGACAAACTCCTTGAGTCCCTCACGGCTACCATCACCTCTCCTCGCTGTCCGGTTTCTCTGCCTTTCTCTGTTGAGCCCACACCTGTTCAGCCCGCGCCTGGCGCTGCACTCACCCACCTACAGAATCCAAGGACCAGTCTTCAGCCCTCCCGCAGCTGCCCGAGTCCCGTCCTGTCCAAGCTCCATTTTGCCTACACCCTGGGGCACTTCGCCCCCCCACCACCTCTTTATGCCCCCTCCCCAGGGCCACGTCCTTGGGCCTCTTCCCCACCTACACCCTGTCCTTTGTGACCTTATCCAATCAGGGCTGTGAAAACCAGCCAGGCAGCTCCAGGTGCCCATGTCCAGCTGCCCTGGGCATCTCCGCTTGGAGAACAGACTTCCCAAGGTCAGTATGTCCAGAACTGATGTCCTGATTTCACCCTCCATCTGCCGTCTCCTCCTCCTCCCCCAGATAAAACTCAACAACTATCCTTAGCCTTTCCCATCTCTGGTGAGGGCAGTCCGTCCCCACCCTGGCAGATGCTCAGACCAAGCCCACAACAGCCCTTTTAGAAATCCTGTGCCCTCCACCCTCAGAGTCACCAGGTCCACGCTGCACCTCACCTGGACTCTCACTTCACCTCACATCTCCCTGTTGTCCTCCCACTTGTGGCCCAGTCTCCCAAAGACAGCCAGAAGGACCTTTCTTATTTCCTTTTTTAAATTGTGGTAAAACATAACACAAAATTTACCATCCTAACTATTTTCAAGTGTGCAGCTCAGTGGCATTAAGTGCATTCGCACTGCTGTGCAGCTGTCACCACCACCCATGCACAGAACTTCTCCATCTTCCCAAACTGAAACTCCATCCTCATTAAACACTAACGCCTCCCTCCCCCAGCCCCTGGTACCCACCATCCTACTGTCTGTCTCTATGGATTTGGCTCCTCTAGGGATTTCATATATGTGGAAATGCACAGTATTTGTCCTTTTGTGACTGGCTTGTTTCACTGTGCAGAATGTCAGGGTTCATCCACATTGTAGCAGGTGTCTGAATGTCCTTCCTTTTTAAGGCTGAGTCATATTCCATCGTGTGCATAGACCACATGTTGTTCCCATTCATTCATCCACCAGTGAACACTTGGGATGCTTCCACCTTTTAATTTGTTTTTAATTTTTAACTTTGTTTGTTTGTTTTGAGAGGGGGTAATTAGGTTTGTTTATTTTAAATGGGTGCTGGGAATTGAACCCAGGACCTCATGCATGCTAAGTACACACTCTCCTACTGAGCCATACCCTTCCCCCTCAAAGGATACTATTGGAAGGTGCGTGCAGGGGTGAATCCAGGGTGTGGCTAGCTCTTGATTCAGATTTTGGAGACACAGGGTGCTTACTTTGTGGAAGTTCCACTGTACATTTGTGATTTGTGCACGTTTCTCTATGTGTTTACTAAAAATAAAGTGATTTATATTTTTAAACAAAGGATCGGACAAAATAAACACATGTTCAGACAGAGACAGAAGGTCCTTAGAAAGGAGACTCTAGAGGATGTAGTTCCGGCTGAGATGAAGAGCTCCCGGGTGGAAGGTCTGTGACTAAGTGAGGGCCACGTAAGAGGAAAAGCTGGGAGTGAATGTAAAGCAGCCACGAATCCACTAAATGACGGCCAAGAGAGTCAAGTGTGTGGCAGCCCACAAGTCCAGAAGCAGCAGATGGAGCTACAGCGCGCCTGGTGAGATACCCAAAGGATCTGTATTTCTGGTCAGAGCGTGAAGGTATTACTGAATTTGTTGTGTCATCTTTCTTTAAACATTTTTTTATTGAGTTATAGTCAGTTTACAATGTTGTGTCAATTTCCAGTGTGGAGCACAATTTCTCAGTTATACATGAACATACATACATTCACTGTCACATTTTTTTTCGCTGTGAGCCACCACAAGATCTTGTATACATTTCCCTGTGCTGTACAGTATGATCTTGTTTATCTGTTCTACATTTTGAAATTCCAGTCTGTCCCTTCCCACCCCCCGCCCCCTTGGCAACCACACGTTTGTATTCTATGTCTATGAGTCTGTTTCTGTTTTGTATTTATGTTTTTTTTTAGATTCCACATATGAGCGATCTCATATGGTATTTTTCTTTCTCTTTCTGGCTTACTTCACTTAGAATGACATTCTCCAGGAGCATCCATGTTGCTGCAAATGGTGTCATATTGTTGGTTTTTATGGCTGAATGGTATCCCATTGTATAAATATACCACATCTTCTTTATCCAGTCATCTGTTGATGGACATTTAGGCTGTTTCCATGTCTTGGCTATTGTAAATAGTGCTGCTATGAACATTGGGGTGCAGGTGTCATTTTGAAATAGAGTTCTTCTGGATATATGCCCAGGAGTGGGATTCCTGGGTCATATGGTAAGTCTATTCCTAGGCTTTTGAGGAATTTCCATACTGTTTTCCACAGTGGCTGCACCAAACTGCATTCCCACCAGCAATGTTCCCTTTTCTCCACAGCCTCTCCAGCATTTATCATTTGTGGACTTTTGAATGATGGTCATTCTGACCGGTGTGAGGTGATACCTCATTGTAGTTTTGATTTGCATTTCTCTGATAATTAGTGATATTGAGCATTTTTTCATGTGCTTATTGATCATTTGTCTGTCTTCCTTGGGGAATTGCTTGTTTAGGTCTTTTGCCCATTTTTGGATTGGGTTGTTTATTTTTTTCTTATTGAGTCGTATGAGCTGCTTATACATTCTGGAGATCAAGCCTTTGTCAGTTTCATTTGCAAAAGTTTTCTCCCGTTCCGTAGGTTGTCATTTTGTTTTACTTATGGTTTGTTGTGTCATCTTTTTACACGTTCATTCAGGTATGACTGGCACGCAGTAAACAATTTGATCTATGTTGATATATTTCCACATGTGAAACTTAACAAAGGGAGACTGCACTAAAGTAGAGTCAGGAGGCCAGAAGAGGGAGCTCTCGGGCAGCACCACTCAAAGTCAGTGACAGAAGAATCATCAGCTACAGTCCCCAACAGATGCATCATCACGGGGAAGATCACTTACAAGTCCCAACAGGATGTACCCTGTGTCTCCAAAAGAAACCAGCTGCCCCAGCAACTCAGCCAGTGGGAAACCGAACCACCCTGACCTCTCGCTTTTCTCCAGTGGACTTGGGTTCCCTCAAAGCAACCCCTCCCTACTTCCTCTCTCTTCTCTATAAAAGTAAGGGTTTTCTCCTTTGTTGGTGGGACTTGCCTGTGGCTTTTGTTATAGCTTGCTTGTCCCAAATTGTAGTTTTCTGCTATTTCCAAATAAATCCACTTTTGTTGGTAAAGTCTTTTTCTCTTTAAGGTCCACATACACATGCAGTGCCACCGGCACCCGAAGCTCCCCACGCGTCTTGGCAACCTCTCCCTCTGGCCCCTCGTGGGCGCCTCCCCCCAAGACAAGCACCAATCTCCTTTCTGTTGCTGGTTGATTTTCTACAGTCTTACGTAAGTGGACTCATGCGATATACTGTATTTTGTCTGTCTTCTTTGAGTTAGTGAAATTCCTTTGAGATTTGTCTGTTGCTGGGCGCGTTCCTTTTTATTGTTAAGTAGTGTTTCGTTACTTATCACAGCAGATTTTGCTTTACCCACATATATTAAGCAAAGCAGGTATAGATCACAAGTATTCAAATTCCAAGTCACTTAAAAGCATTTTGTACATTAATGACAAGGGTTATCATACAAGTGGTCTTTTTAAAAACTCTTGCACAGAAAAACCAGTTTGTTTACACGTTCACTTGTTGGTAGACACTGGGGTCACTTCCAGTATCTGGCGCTTACAAATAAAGCTGTGCTGAATGTTCACATACAAGCCTCTGTGTGGACATGTGCTTTTGTTTGGGCTTTTCCCATCCTTACTTAACATCCCGTGGTCTTTCTCCTGGCTTCCTGAATCTTTGCGGTCATTCGGATGACCTGTAATGCCCTTGTCTACTGACTCAATCATCTGTCTCATTTCTGGTGCAGTTCTGATAGATTGATTCTCCCCCCTTTATTATGAGTTGAATCTTCTTGCTCCTTTGAGTTTATGGTACTTTTTATTGGATGCCAGATACCGCAGATTCTATAATGTTGGGTCATTGAGGGTTTTTTTTTTATATGTTTTTGAGCTTTGTTCTGGAATGCAGTTAAGTTACTTGGAAATAATTTGATCCTTTTGGCTCTCCCTTTTAAGTTTTGTTAGGTGGGCTCAGAAGACTCCTTGGTCTAGATAAACTTGACCCTACTACTAAGGCCATGGCTTTCTGAGCATTCTGTTCAGTGCTGGATGGGGGTCGGGGACACAACCTATTTCTGGCCCAGTGGCAATTTCCCAGCTTTGGGGAGTTTCTGCACACGCTAAGAACCAGAGAGGAACACACTGAAGAACCCCAGAGCTTTGCCTTTTCTCTTTACAAGTCTGTCCTAAAAGTTCTAGTCACCCTGGGCTCTGAACTCTGTCCCTTCACGTCAGGGACCCTGCCTGGCTTGATTTGGGTTCCTCCTCCCCATCCCGCAGCCTGGAAAAATCTCTCCGGGGATCAACCAACCGTGGAACTCACCTCGTTTCCCTCCTTTCAAGGGTTGCTGGTCTGCACTGCCCTTGTCCAGCCTGAAAAGCATTGTTTCATGTTTTGTCCAGTTTTTTTCAGGTGTTTAAAGTGGTAGGCCATGTGACCATAAGTGGAAATTAGTATTACCTATTCTTTTTCATTATAAGTCACTACAAGATAATTGAATATATTTCCCTGTGCTGTACAGTATAAGCTTGTTGCTTATCTATTTTATATATAGTAGTTGGTATCTGCAAATCTCAAATTCCCAGTTTATCCTTTCCTACCACCTTTCCCCCCAGGTAACCATAAGTTTGTTTTCTATGTCTATGAGTCTGTTTCTGTTTTGTAAGTAAGTGCATTTGTGAGTGTTTTTAAGATTCCACATAAAAGTAATATCATATGGTATTTTTCTTTCTCTTTCTGGCTTACTTCACTTAGAATGATGATCTCCAGGTCCATCCATGTTGCTGCAAATGGCATTATTTTATTCTTTTCCATGGCCAAGTAGTATTCCATTGTATAAATATACCACAGCTTCTTTATCCAGCCCTCTGTCAATGGACAGGTTGTTCCACTGTGATTTCTAGTGAAACTGCTTAAAAAATAGAAAGGGAGTGAATAACTTTTGTTGTTGTTTTGAGGGGAGGGGTAAGTAGGTTTATTTCTTTATTTATTTGTTAGTGGAGGTACTGGGGATTGAACCCAGGACATCATGCATGCTAAGCACGAGCTTTACCCATCTCCCGCAGAGTAAATAACTTTTAAAATAATATGTGTGTGATGAAGTGAATGACAAGGAATAATCAATCCAAAAGAAGACACAAAAGGAGAGAAGTAACATATCAATGATTTTTAGTCAATGATAATCAACAAACTGTTCCAGGTAACAGAGTTTATAAGAGGCACAACTACATGGTAAGGATTCAGAAAGGTTGAAAATAAAGACTGATAAAAGGTATACTATGTAAATACTCATAAAAACAAGACTGGCGCTGCTGTGTCAATATCAGATGAAACAGATTCTAAGGCAAGAACAGCGGAGACACATAGGGATCCACTGTTACAGCCGGATGGAGACTTCACTGCCCCTCTCCGAGGAGCGGCCGGTCCAGCAGGCAGAGATCGGCCAGGATGCGGATGAATTCAGCGGCACCATCGATCGCCAGGCTGTAGTGACATCTGCCAACTGCAGCATCCAACAAAGTGGAACACACATTCTTCCCAAACTCACTGCAAACACCAAGACAGACCACATTCTGGGCCATAACACATTTCTTTTTTTTTAATTTTGGGGGGAGGTAACTAGGTTCTTATTTATTTGCTTATTATTTTAATGGAGGTACAGGGGATTGAACCCAGGACCTCCTGCATGCGAAGCAAGCTCTCTACCAACTGAGCTGTGCCCTCCTCGTTTAACACACTTCTTAACACATGCAGAGGTACAGAGAGCACAGTGTCTGCTCGCAGACCACAGTGGAATTAACTGGGAATCTGTAACAAATGCAGCTGGACAATCTCCAAGTACCTGGAGGTGACAAAACACACTTCTAAATAACATGTGAATCAAGGGAGAAATCTCAAGAGAAGTTAAAAATAATATGAACTAAATGAAAATGAGCGACAACTTTTCAAAATGTGGGATTCAGCAAAAGCAGTGCCCAGGGGGAAATTTACAGCGTTGATTTCATGCATCAGAAAAGAAGAAAGCTCTATAACCAATAACCCAGGCTTGTGCCACAGGGAACTAGGAAACCCAGAGTAAGCCGAAGAAAAGAAAGGATGAAAATCAGAGCAGAAATGAAAGAAACTGAAAGGAGAAAATAATAGAGAAAATCAATGTGATGAAATAAAACTCGTATTTTATGAGCAAACAAGGAAGATTTAAATGTGCTGTCTTCCTCTGCCCATTCGGCCTCCGCACTCTCCCTATGTGTGTGTGGACGTCACCGGACGTCCTCAGGCGGTGACGTCCCCCGTGCTCTCCCTCCTCGCTCTGTGCGTGGTCAGACCGCGTACCCTGGCAGCCTGTCACGAGGCTACACCCCTTTGTCGCAAAAGCTCGTGTAACTGTGCCTCGAGCTCCAGTAAGCGCAACAGCCCTGGCAGCTTCCTGGAAGCCTGTCTCTGGGTTGTGGTCCTCCGATCAGCGTCGCTGGCACGATGCCGGAGACACCCCCGGAGGACCCAGGAGGCCACCCCGGACCTGGGCTCGGTACCCGCTTCTCGGCCTCCTCGGGGGTTCCGGCGAGTTCTGATAACTCGATCTCATTGCTTCTAGGTGCTGATCTTCAGCGTCGTATTCGAGCTGTTTCTACGTGACTTGGAGCCTTCAGGGGCACACGTGCATCTATCTCCTAGGCAGGGACCTGGGCGGTGGGGGTGGAGGGAGCTGGGCGGGAGGCCAGGGAAACAAGTGGCCGGTGTTTGTTACGTGTGGCTTAACTGAGAAGGACAAGTTAATACAGGGTCTGAACAAACCCTTTGGTAGTGAAATGGGAGGCTGGATTCATTCAGCTCCGAACAACGGGACACCTGCTCCTCCTGGCCACAAGGGGTTCTTAGGTGACAGAATCTGGTGATGTGTCTGCGGGTCACTGCTCGGGATGTGCAGTGTTCCCACAGGGGAGCCCACCACAGCACTCGGCGAATGCTGTTCTTCCTGGGACGCACAGCCTAGCCTGACACCCGGTGCTCCGAGTGCGCGCGGCAGCTCCTGCCGGAGGTGGGAACCCAGCCGCGTGGAGAGAGTCAGCCAACCCAAGGAGTGGCCTTTGATGCAGGAAAGTAAATGGGGCGCGAGAGGCTGGCTGTGTCCCAGGTCTCAACTGAGTCCCTGGGACGCAGCTGCCAAGTGAGGGTCCTTGGCTTCGTGCAGGAGAGAATGCAAGAGCGAGCCACAGTTGAGTAAAGGCGGGTTTATTTGGAGAGATGCACTCTATAGACGAGTGTGGGCTGTCCCAGAAGGCCGGGGAGGTGAGAGGTGGGGGGGGGGCTGGGGGTGGTTAAAGGTAGACACGCTCCACAGAGTGTGGGCGTCTAGGAAGGCAAGGGGGGGAGGGGGGGAGGCTGTGAGGGGTGGTGGTGCTAGTTTGTATATGCTGACAAGTGGGAAGATCATCCCAGCTGCTGTGGGGAAGGGGCGGGGAGCCCCAGGCATCGAGCCACGGCCCTCTCTTTGACCTTCCAGGGGCAGCCTCGGAACTGCCCTGGTGCTTGTGGGTGTGTCGTTCACCAGGCAGGACGTTACAGTGTGTACAGTGAAGCTCAAGGTCCACTAGGGGTCAGATCTCCTGTCATCCTGAGCCTCCAGGTCTACTGGGAGTTGACTTTCCCCCATCTTGGTGCTAATTGCTGTCATTCCTTTAATGAATGGCTGGGTCCTGCCCCCTTCCCTCCTGTCCCACCTTGGGGAGCTACACTCAGAAGCAGAGTCCATCCCTTCCATCACACTGTCTCAGAAAGCTGTCCGGATCATCTCATCTCTGAATTAGGTGACCAAATTGATATTGGGAAGTTGAGCCCCAAAGTCCAAACAGCTCCCGTTCAGGCAGCCACCTATGGGGGTACCAGCTGGCTTGTGTATGCTTGCGTCCCTAGTTGGGCATTAAAGGAAACTGGGCCCTGAAATGGCCAGGATGGGGTTCTCCTGGCCCTCCAAAACGGGTTTTTGCACACACAGGTAGAGAAAGCTGGAGGAAGGTAGGTTCTTACCCTGTCGGTCAGTCTCCTGGGCCCCTGTCTGCAGGGTCTACTGAGACAAGGGTGGTAGAGTTCTCCTGTTTTCTAGAATTAGATTAGCAGGAGGAAGTGGAGGGCCGGCTCTGTGCAGCCTTTGACTTGGAAAAACTTCTAAGTTGTTAAAGAGCTCGCAACTTAAACTACCTTACTTGGTAAGCAGAAGCCCCCAAAGGCTTCAAAGTTCCAAAACATCTTCACTGAAGGATTTGTTGCAGAATGCGAGTGAAAGTAGTTGTATGGAAGCTCTAAGAGGCCAACCGCCTCCAGGTACTGCAGCCTGCCTGAACTGCCTTCTACCGCAAAGACTCCACGGCTACCTCTAGAAGTGGGACAGGCCGAGGCTGTAGAGGAGCCTCTGCAGGTCAGAGGTGAGCCCAGGGCCATCGTTAAAGACTTTCTTAAGACCAGGGAGGAACCTCAAGTTTCAGTAAGTGGTTTGCCAAGGCAGGAGACCAGCTGGTCTGACCACACTGACCACAGCTGATATGCAGAGCCTGATAGCATTCTTTCTTTCCTTTTCCCCCCCGAAGCTAAATGAGGGAAAGTAAAACATCACAATGTAGGCAGATGGCTATGTCAGTTCTTAGGTCTTGATGCAGGAAAACGGATGTGGGGCGTGAGCAGGGCCGAGTCCCAAGTCTCGGCTGAGCCCCTGGGACATGTCCTGCCAAGTGTGGGTCCTTGGCTTCGCGCAGCATAGAATTCAAGCGCGAGCCACAGTTGAGTAAAGGTAGATTTATTTAGAGAGATACACGCTGCACAGAGTGTAAGGCCAGAGAAAGGCCAGGAAAGAGGTGCGGGAATCCGGTGCTCAGGTTAGAGTAAAACCTGGCACATACTCCGTAGACAGAGTGCGGGCCTTCTCCAAAGGGGAGGCAGAGCGCCAAGGGCCGCTGGGCGTGGTGGTGTCACTTTTGGGCTCAGTAGCTTCACACGCCTACGGGTGGGATCAATCCAACTGCCCTGGGGGAGGGGCTGGGATTCCCAGGGACTGGGCCACCGCCCATTCTTGGGCCTTCTGTAGTCAGCTTTAGGGCCGTCATGGCACCTGCGGGCGTGTTATTCCATCCCACTGTAACGATGAGCACATAATGAAGCGCAAGTTCTACTAGAAGTCAAACCTCTTAATCCTCCAGGCCAACTGGGAGTTGAATCTTACACCATTTTGGTGTTAAATTGCTGTCATTCCTTGAATGGCTCTGCCCTGCCCTCTTCCATCCTGTCTCAAAACTGCCAACTTAAATGAAGGGAATTCACTGAATATCCAGACCACTTCCAAGTAAGACATTGGAATGTTAATTGCTAAAAAAAGCCTCAGTTTTGCTACTTTTGCTTCTTATTAGAGAAAAACTAAATACACGTGGGTTCATTGGACATGACCTGCACCCCACTGAGGAAAGCAATTAGGTTACAGAGTGTGCTCACACAATGTGTGTGAGCTGCTTACAACGTAATGACCATAGACACAACATACTTTCAAGCTTAATCTTCATTGTTAGCATTTTCTCTACCGCTTTAAGTCTAGGCAATCAAGAAAACAGTCGAGCCCTGGAGTGTAGCACTGGCCATTGTCCATGACGTAAACGCTCCCACCTCTGCTGAGCCCAAGCTGCCAGTGTGATGCCAATGAGAGCAGAGTGGGGGTGAGAAGGGCAGGAGTACCGAGTTACAGAGCATCTCCACCATCCCATTCAGTTATAGTAGACAGAAATAAAGAAATGGGCAACACTGAAACGCAGAACACCTTGTAAAAAGCATAGTAAAATAAATACAGTAGAATGAAGTTAAATTTTTCATAATGGCGATATTTAATGACAAGCTTATAAAATTCCTGAAAATTGAACAACTGCTTCTTGCAAGCCTGGTAATTTGGCCCCAGCACACAGTCCTGAGAGGGTAACTCATGCAGTTCCCTAGAGAACCTTCTGGCAGCCCTCTGTAACTCTACCTGGGTGCCCTTTGGCCAACACCCCTCCTCAGGGGCACACACCTCCCAGACCCAGACCCCTCTAGTCCTAGACGGACTGGAATGAGGGTCCTCTGTGTAGATGTCTGTAGGGGGTGGCAACTAGGAGCACGTGAGGGTCTCCTCCCAGGGGAATGGAAAGCTACCATGTGGTGCAAGAGCTCTGTCCAGTGAAGACACCCACGTACTCGTAACAACACTCTACTCTGTCAAGGACGCACCCATCAGGACACATCCTCAGCACGTTGTAGCAGGGGGTGGGGTGCTGGGGGAGAGAAGTGAGCCAAGGGATGGGTGGTGGAAGGAAGAAAAACTGACTCAAGTAAAATAAAACCAGAGCTGGGCCTCGCCCCAGTGAGGAGAGCAGGCCTTGATCTGAAGGGTCTGGGTGGCTGACCTCTGCAGGGTCCAGGTGCACAGAGAAGGGTGAGGCAGTGGGTGCTTCCTGACCCTCTCCCCTCAGTTGTCTCAAAGAGGCGGAAAGGATGGAGCCTGTGGTCCTGATGGGCAGGGGGTGAGGTCTCAAGAGGAGCTTTAGACACAGGGACTCTTCCCGGAGATGATGAGGTCCAGGCTGTGACTGTGGCGGGGCAGAGGTAAGGGACATATGGCAGGGAGGTGAGGAACCAGGAGGCTGGGGCTGGCGGCCCCTCCTGAGCCTCTGACTTGCTCCCTGTGCAGTCACCCTTACTCCTGCTCGCTGTATGCAGCCTCTTCAAACAGCTGCAGGGGCCCTGGCCATGCCGTGATGAACAAGTCCGTACTCAGGGGCACCTCTAAGCTTGCTGTCCTGGCCCAGGAGAGGCCCAGCCCTGACTCTGGGCACCAGAACAGACACTGCTAGAGGCAGGCAAGGAAGCTGGCCTGGTGGGGACAAGGGGGTTGGTTGGCCAGGGCGGGAGGACCCCTTCTAGGCAGAGAGGCTCTCAGCTTCTGTGCTTTCCTTGGTTATGCCTGAGGCTGGCTGGAGCCTGTGGGTGGTTAAGAACCCCCCAAAGCAGGGCTCACTTCCTTCCAAGGGATGCCTGACGGCTCATCTCCGCTTTGGGCCCCGGGAAAGGTAGGTGCGGCTGTTAGGCACAGGCCGCAGGAAGGCCGTCCGCAGCGGACCCCGAGGACGCGGAGCAGCTACAGGCACAGTCAGTCCGTTGGGACAGCGGCCTGGCAAACGGCAAAAGCAGCGGCACTGGGGACCAGAGAGGCTGGCCAGCTTTGCGAGGCTCGCCCGAGTGCCTCCAGGCATGACGTGCACCGCGAGCCTGC